GGAGGAGCCGGTGACGGAAGGGGTAATCGACCCATTGGAGTGCGAGATGGCGGCAGAAGGTGGGCGTGATGTCGGAGTGCGACTGGAGTCTCGAGACGAGGATAATGAACTGGACAGTCGGCGGAACCACTTGCTGTTGGCGGCTGATCCTGTTGCAGAGGTATTGGTGTCTGCGGCGACGCCGTGCTCTTCCTGCGTCTGCGGTCGGCGCGAGGATCGATCCATGCCCACGCTGAGGCCGGTGTAGCTGTGCCGCTTGGCTGCTAGTGTCGTGGAGGCGGTGTTGGTGGAGCTGGAGCGCGACCTCCGCCCATGGCTGCGTCGCGCGGGCAGCTCAGCAAACAGGTGCGGGTGGGCGTTGAAGGTCGACACGGCGGTGGCGGTCGCGCTCATGTCGGCAGCAGGCCGCGCCGTGCCTGGAATGCTTGCACTGGCGGGACCATGAGCATGAGCGCGGCGGTCGTTCGCATCGGTGTTGGCGCGCGGGTGGGACTCAGAGGCGGTTAGGACGAAGCCGATGCTCGCAAGGGCGGTGATGGTCGACGTGGCTCCGAGCGTCGAGGCAAATGTTGGCATGCCTCAAGACCGCACGGCCGGCCTGGGGAGGAGGAGAGCGAGGAGGCAGCGAAGGAGGGCGTCGTGGAGCATGTAACCATGTCTCGCATGTTTACTCGGGATGCTTAAGGTCCACCCTGCTGCTGCTGGCACTTAAGCGCATGGCATCTGGTTTCACAACGACAATGAGCGACTGGGACCACGCAGGAACGAGAGAGTGGATGCGATGAGGAGGGGGTGCTTGTTGGCGGAACAGCGCACAACCCTGGCACCAGAGCTGAAAGATCAATGCTAACTAACTAGTTCTCGAGTTGCAACGACATCACTCGTCCTTCCTGAGTTCGCCTATGCTATCCGTGCCGTCCGACTTCCTTCCGGCTCGCCAGCACCGAGAGTCTGCGCTCGCAAGTCGCGATCCCCCTGCACACTGGATGAAGGTTGTCTACTGTACGCACGAAATCTTCCGCTACATATCCTGCTTTGGCTGGCTCAAACTCTACAAGCGGTCGATCCACTCGTCGAACGAACTCGTTCTGACGCTTGGTCCTCGCCACGAAACGGCGGTACTAACGACCATCCTTTGGTACCCAGTTGCAGCCGCGGCCACCTGCAGCTCCCAGTGCGACTGCCTGATGCGGTTGCCGTCGCGGTAGGCCCTCACTGCCGTCAACCGGGTCTTTGGACGACAGCACCGCAGGAGGCGTCTGTCTTGCAGCCGTCACCGCATTGTTCTGCAGCACGAGATGGACAGCGCATGACAGACCGAACATGTCGTCCTCAACTGCTCCGAAGGCCGCTGGGAAAGCTGCCCGCCAAGCACCGGATGGATCATGGAGCTCGTTAGGATCGTCTCCAGAAAACGCCATTCGATGGAGTACTTTGGTGCCAGCCGGCCGACGTCGCACGAGCCGCAGCGTGACCCCGTAGCAATAGCACGGGGTGCCATGTTGAAGCACCGTGAACATTAGGCGTTCCTGGTCAAACTCCAGCGTGTAACTGTTGACAACGGTCCAGCTGTAAGGAAAACCAACAACAGCAAGGAGCAACAACTGTGCAACTCTCGTGGCTCGTACGAAACACAACGCTGAGGTGTATAGCTCGGATCCCTGCTCTTACTACTATTAGACAGAGTGCCTTGCAGTAGATCCGTCTCGCGGGGCGCCAGATTTCGCCCACTGCTCGGCATTATATCCGCTCAATAATCAACGCGCGACGCTTGCAGAGCACAAGATACTGTGTAGTATACCGGCTAATGCCCGTCAACATGTTCTTCGTATAGCGCAATGGGGTTTGCCTGCTGAAGCCAGCAAGGAGCGGCCGCAGGGATGAGCTTTGATGCCCTCTCGCACAGCCCAAAATGTAGGAACTTTGCGCTCCCCAAGGTGTGAACAAGGTTCTTGCAGCGAGAGATTTGGAAAGCGTCATTTCTCGGCCAACATCTCGCAAGTTGACAGAAGACATTATTATTGTCGCTGGTGTATGATGAAGGCCGCAAGCTCGATCGATCATTGGAGCTGCGGCAAGCGTACCAGTACTTGATGGATGAAGAAAGCGTTTCTCGTTTCTGCAGGCAACGGCAGCGGGACCCTCAAAGACCACCACTGCCAACATCTCAAACTCTGCCCCAAGCCTTACCCTCACATCGAGATCTGGAGCAACAGATCGCAATTCACCGGCTGGTACAGCACACGCGCACGGGCATTCCGTTTCGAGGCAGATTTCACATGCAAAGTTGACGTTTCGTCCGCCTCCGGTCAAGTTCGGAAATTATTACTTGCGCTCACGCCCAGCGACACGTCAGGTCCGATAGGCGACAGGTGCTAAGACGCCACTGCCATGCAGTCTGAGATACGGGAGCAGCTCCCGGACATCGATTCCGTGGTGGTCGATTACGCAGCTGGTTATCTAAATCACGCGGCTCGACAGTTCAGTGCAGAGGCCGACCCGTTGGCAGAGGCCGCAGCAGTGATAACGCAGCTTCTGATATCTGCATCTGGAGACCTTTCTGACGAAAACGAGGCCTCCGTCCAGAACTTGGTCCAGAAGTTCGTGTCACGACTCAATAGTCAAAATGGCGTTGACGGCGAGAGGCGACAGCAGGCGCCATCCGCCAAGAGGCTTGATCAAACCATTCAAGTAGCGTCACAACGAGGCGTATCATCTACGCTCGGTCTCACAGGTGGCACTGTCGACCTAGAGTCGGCAAACACTCGCAAGGTGGAGTCTCGTGTTGACAAGAAGAAGCTCGAAAAAGCCGAGCGCAAACTGCGCGCAAAGCAAGACCGTAAAGTCTTCAAGACTGTCGAGTATGAGGCCTCCCGCCTGCTGGACCAGCCAGACGAGCAGCAGTCATACGAAGAGTTCTTCATGGCTGTTAATCCTCTGCAGCTGGGCTCAGATGCGCAATCCAAGAGCAAAGATATCAAGGTCGATGGCATTGACATCTCCATTGGTGGTAAGCGTATCTTATCAGACACAAACCTGACTCTTGCCTATGGCCGTAGATACGGTCTGGTGGGTCAGAATGGTATTGGTAAATCGACATTGCTTAGAGCGCTCAGTAAACGTGAGGTTGGAATTCCAACCCATATTTCTATCCTACACGTCGAGCAAGAAATCACTGGAGATGACACACCCGCTCTGCAGGCCGTTCTGGATGCCGATGTGTGGCGAAAACACCTGCTCAAGGAGCAGGAGAAGATTTCGAAAGAACTTGCCGAACTTGAAGCAGAGCGATCGTCCATGGCGGATACGTCAACCGATGCTGCGCGCCTAGACAAGCAACGCGAGGGTCTAGACATAACGCTCAGCGATGTTCAAGGCAAGCTCGCAGAAATGGAGTCCGATAAAGCTGAATCTCGCGCGGCTAGCATTCTCGCTGGTCTGGGATTCTCGCACGAGAGGCAACAATTCGCCACCAAGACCTTCTCTGGTGGTTGGCGTATGCGTCTGGCGCTGGCACGAGCCCTCTTCTGCGAACCCGACCTTCTGCTGCTCGACGAGCCTTCGAACATGTTGGACGTGCCTTCTATCACGTTCTTGTCAAATTATCTGCAAGGATATCCAAGCACAGTGTTGGTGGTGTCCCACGACAGGGCTTTCCTAAACGAAGTTGCTACCGATATCATTCACCAACATTCAGAGCGCCTGGACTACTACAAAGGCGCGAACTTCGACTCCTTCTATGCAACCAAGGAGGAGAGGCGGAAGACTGCACAGCGAGAGTACGAGAAGCAGATGGCCGAACGTGCTCATCTGCAAGCTTTTATCGACAAGTTCCGTTACAACGCTGCCAAATCTTCTGAAGCTCAATCTCGGATCAAGAAGTTGGAGCGTATGCCCGTGCTTGAAGCGCCAGAGAGTGTCTACACTGTACACTTCAAGTTCCCTGAGGTCGAGAAGCTGTCACCGCCAATCATCCAAATGACTAATGTCACTTTCGGCTACACACCAGACAAAATATTGCTGAGGAACGTCGACCTGGACGTGCAGCTGGATTCACGTATTGGAATTGTTGGACCAAACGGTGCAGGCAAGACAACGGCGCTGAAGCTGCTCATTGGCGCACTCTCGCCCACTTCCGGATTGATCTCACAGAATCCACGCTTACGCATTGGATTCTTCGCTCAGCACCATGTTGATGCCCTTGATCTCAACGCCAGTGCCGTTGGCTTCATGGCCGCAAAGTATCCTGGCAAGTCAGATGAAGAGTATCGTCGCCATCTCGGAGCGTTTGGTATTACTGGCATGACCGGATTGCAGAAGATGGGACTCTTGTCAGGAGGACAAAAGTCAAGAGTGGCATTCGCGTGTATTGGTCTGCAAAACCCACACATCCTGGTACTCGATGAGCCTTCGAATCATCTTGATATCGAAGCAATGGACGCTCTCAGCACGGCATTACGTGAATTCCAAGGAGGTGTGCTGATGGTCAGCCACGGTAAGTTCTTCATTCAGACTGTCATACTCTCGGATCAGTCTGCTAATCGATTGCCAGATGTGACGATGCTTCAGAACGTCTGCACTAGTCTCTGGGTGTGTGACAACGGAACGGTCGAGCATTTTGGTAAGCCGCATAACCACACATACATATATACCATCAACTAACATCTGCACAGACGGTACTGTCAAGGACTACAAGAAGCGCATCTCGGCTCAAGCGGGTGAGGCAGGCGTGGTTGCTCAGCATTAGATGTTCAGATACTGCGCAATTTTACTTGCTTCAGCGAAGTGTAGACCAGGGAGGAATCGCCAGCGCTCAATGGACTTTTGGAACACACGCACGATTTGCATGCACACATACCTATGCTGGTGAAAAGTAGATCATAGAGATTGGGGAGTGAGCAGACACTAGACTAGACATGTTCACAAGCCACACTTGGCGAAATGCTCAAGCCTCACGCCACACAAATTTCCGCAAACCCCGCGCTCCTTACTCGAAAGCTCTTGCGAATTTCTCACAGAGACACCTCCTCCTCTCACCACACCACAAATTCATCACCACTGTGACGACAGGACACAGTCGTCGCGCACACTATCAAAGTGTCGCTCCCTTCGCTTTCACGAATCCTCTTCTTTTCTTCGTCACTCGCAGCCGGTTCTGCTTTCAACAGCTCAGCACGATCTGCGCCGAGAGTCCTTGCACTCTACACACAAACACAAATCCGGACATACGCGAGCAAGAAGAAGAAAATGCCTCCTAAGAAGGAAGTGAAGCAGGAGAAGGTCCTACTTGGGCGACCTGGCAACAGCTTGAAGAGTGGGATCGTATGTACGGCGAATTTGTGCGTGCTCTGCGCGTGCGCTGGGAACATCATTCTGACTAGTGACTCAGGTTGGTCTTGCAAACGTAGGAAAGTCGACGTTCTTCCAGGCAATCACAAAATGCCCATTGGGTAACCCAGCCAACTTCCCATATGCTACCATCGACCCCGAGGAAGCGCGCGTCCTAGTGCCTGACGAGCGCTACGACTGGCTTGTCGACCACTACAAGCCCAAGTCGCGCGTGCCTGCCGATTTGACTGTGTACGATATCGCCGGTCTCACACGTGGTGCGTCGACTGGTGCAGGTCTCGGAAATGCCTTCTTGTCACATATTCGAGCTGTCGACGCATGTTTCCAGGTCGTGCGCTGCTTCGACGATGCAGAGATTATCCACGTGGAGGGCGATGTTGACCCGATCCGAGATCTCGAGATTATCGCTGAAGAGCTTCGGATCAAGGACATCGAGTTCGTTGAGAAGGCATACGAGAACTACCAAAAGCAGACTCGCCGCGGTGGCCAGTCACTTGAAATGAAGAAGCTCAAGGAAGAGCAAGCATGCGTTGAGAAAGTGCTCGAGCACCTTAAGGCGGGCAAAGATGTCCGCAAGGGCGACTGGACTCCAAAAGAGGTTCGTTTCCAATTTCTACCTTCCCCTTCCTTACCCCTCCTTTATGATGAACCAGAGATTCGTCTCTATAATCCCAGCTCTTAGAAGTCTCACCCAACGCTTTCGAGGCATCATGTTAAGAAATCAGATCTGATCGAAGCTTGAACTACACCGTTACTTTGACTAGCTCTTGCTATACAACAGCTGCTGACGAAGAGATGCGCAGGTCGAGGCAATCAACCCACTGTTCCTTTTGACGGCGAAGCCTGTGGTCTTCCTTGTCAACCTGAGTGAGAAAGACTACATTCGCCAGAAGAACAAGCACCTGCCGAAGATTGCAGAGTGGGTCAAAGAGCACGCAACCGGTGATCCTATCATTCCAATCTCAGTTTCCTTCGAGGAGCGTCTATCAAGATTTGAAACGGTAGCAGAGGCAGATGAAGAGGCAAAGAAGCTGGGCACCAAATCTGCATTGCCCAAGATCATCACCACCATGCGCAAAGCGCTTGATCTTGGCTCTTTCTTCACAACTGGAACTGATGAGGTACGGCAATGGACGATCAGAAATGGCACCAAGGCGCCTCGTGCTGCTGGTGTGATTCACGGCGATTTTGAGAAGACCTTCATCCAGGCTATCGTGTACAACTTCAAAACATTAAAGGAGCTGGGCAACGAAGCGGAAGTAAAAGCACAGGGCAAGGTGATGACCAAGGGTAAGGATTATGTCGTCGAGGATGGAGACATCTTGCTATTCAAGGCTGGAGCTGCCAAGTCATAGATGGCTGGGTAAGCTATGCTGTGCCTCCGCAGGGTAGATTACATGCATGTTGATGAATGAAGACCTTGACTCTACGTCGGTCTTAATGAAGAATGCCACCATTTCAAGTGAATCGCAATAATACACTGCCGTCTCACCACATGACCACTACTACATTTCGTCCGGTATGACCACTTTCGCACACGCACCAATCCGCTGTAGCTCTGGCTATCTGTCACATGCGACGCGCGATTAGACTAGGTTTCACTAGTTAGCGCCGTAGTTCGCAGTCCACGTTTGCATCACCTTCGTCTCTGCCATCATTGCGCCATCCTGCTTCACCTGGCAAATACCCCTCCGGTCGATGGAACAGTCTGCGGCGACGACAGCATGAGTGCGAACTCTCATGCACCCACTCAATCCTTTTGTGCGGGCCTTCTTCCGAAGCGCACTGCCTGCGCAATGTCAGCCTATCGGCCACCACATCCTGCTTGTGCCCACGACCGAAGTCCTACTGCGAGCGAAAGATCGCGACACGAATACAACTTATGCTGACCTTGCGGGTACCGAGGAGTTCCTAGCCAGTCATGTGTTGCGCGTACCAGGAGGAGGACCACCGTTGAGCGGAGGCGGCGGCGGCGGAAATGCGCGAGAGAACAAGAACAAGGCGAAACAGTACACCACGATCAATGGACGTACGGTGGTGGTTAAAGATAGCTTTGTGTACAGCAACAAGGGTTTCAAGACGCTCAACCAGGCGCAACTACTGAGCGATGCCATCTACTATCCGGATGCTGCGGATGGGCAGCAGTGGCTGGTGTACTTCATATCCCGACCTCTGATGGGCACATATCAGGCGACACCGATAGTGCCTGCTGTGATCAGCGATGCGCCGAGTAAGGAGCGCAAAAGCGTGCTGGCAGAAGCCTCGGGGACCTCCGGCGCATTAGGGTCAGCGACAGTGTCAACTTCGCCGAAGAAGAAAGAGATTAAAGGCTTTGGGGATTTACTTGTTCAATTCCCCATGATATCGCGACAGATGCAGAACGGGCTGGAGAAGATCATTCGGGAGTTCATAGCGACCAACGACAAGCCACTACCGAAGCCTAGGTCTCGAAGCTCCTCGTTCGGCTCGCAGACATCGCGCCCGTCCATCAGTGATTCTGTGTCTTCACTCAGGTCCTCGCTATCAGGCACAAGCACTGTCCACCCTACCTATCTCGAGCTGGAACCCGAAGAGGAAACGCTCCGGACTGCATTGGAAACGGCCATTGTCGCGGCCATCGACTTGTTCCAAAATGTGGACAAGCAGCAGTTATCGATCCTGGGCGCGAGCACTGAGCTTACTGGGCCGGCTGTCGAGCGTATGATTGAGCGCTATGTGACTGAGCAAGTACACGACCAGAATCTGTTCCCTCGCGTGTGTAGCATCCGACGACCGGACGATTCCGACCTGGAATCGAAGATACGCAAAATGTCCGACATCGACATTGCTCAGGTTGGCATACCTGTCGATGATGGGATGCAGGCAAAGCGAGCACTTGCTGTTCGCCTGACCAAAGGTGTTCAATTGTTCAGAAAAATGGGCGTTGCAAGCAGTCCACAGGAGATGTTGGACATCCTGCTTGAGACGCAAAAAGTCATCACTGCGCCCGACGGAACCGATAGCTCGGGGCCAGAAGATCCTTCTTCATCGACTGTGGCTACTAGTCCCTTGACGATCAATGCCGACGTCCTCGTCTCAATGCTTTTGATTGTGATCATCCGCAGCGGCGTAAGGCACTTGCATTCGCGCCTGTTGTACATGCGGTACTTCATCTTCATTGACGAAGTCGAATGCGGCGAACAAGGTTATGCGCTAGCTACCATGGAAGCAGTATTGGCGCACTTGTCCAGTAGCTCCAATACTTTGAGGAAAGCCAGCAAGAAGAATCGTCTCCTATGGCAAGCCGTCAAAACAGGGGACGTGAAAGCTTTGGCTACTATACTGCAGGTTGACGACCTCCCGGTGCAAAACGACACCACGGACGGCTATCCGACGGCGCTCTCGTCGGATTCGGAAGAGGACGATTCTGCGGATACCTCACTTGATGTGATCGAGTCTATAGAAGGGTCTAGGTCTGACGGCGCTTCTTCAGAGTTTGCAGCAATGAATGGTTCTCTTCAGCACGTCTTCCCCTTCCAGAGACCGCCAACGCCCCCACCCGAGCTCCCGCCGCGCAAAGCAAAGAAACACGTTTCGATGGCATCTCTCCCACGAAGCCACTCAGCATCTTCTGCGTACTCCTCTCGGTCGCACTCCCGACAAAAGAGTGTTGATTCGGATGCTAGTTATAACGTTGGAGGCGACTTATCTGTTGACAAAATTGCGCAAACTCAGGATGCCGACGGCAACTCAGTGCTCATGATGGCAGTTGAGGCTGGCAAGCATGATGCTTTGCGGTTCTTACTGAGTCTGCCGGCACACTTCCGTGCTGATTTCATCCTTCAAGATGCCAATAACGATGGCGCTACTGTTCTCAGTGCAGCGATTCAATCTGGAAATGGAAGTGTGACAGAGGAACTAATACACTACCTGGAGAGCAATGTGTCAGAAGAAGAGCTACGAGGATACATCAGACTACAGGACAACAAGGGCCGATGCGTTGCTCATTATTTATTCCACCAGCCTCACCTGATAAAGCGTTTTGGGAAAAAATTGCCCTGGCGGCTAAAAGACAAGAACGGACAGACACCACTCTTTGCGATGTGCAGATCCTATGACCATGAGAAGTACCACTACATGGTTGAGGAGGCCTTGAAGTTCGCAACCGAAACACAAGGCGACGGCGAGCCTCTGCACCTGGACGACCATGTAGACGCGAAAGGGAACACCTTGATCCACGTCATGAATGATATGCAGCTCACCATGCGACTACTCCGATATTGCGATTCTGATGTCAATGCCGCCAACGACAAGCGCTTCACACCTCTGATGGTTGCCAGTAAATATGGTCGCATAGATTTGGTGCGAGCACTCTTTGGCGATCCACGAGTCGACATGACCTTGAAAGACATTCGCGGGCTTACAGCTGTCGAGCTGGCCAAGGATGACGATGTCAGGAATCGCATTGACGACCTGACGCTGCTGTCCTCGGCGCCAGGCAAGGACGGGCGCACTACGACTGTAGTCAGATCCTTCTTCGTGGAGGATTCCACTGTACGGCTGGTGCTCAAATCGGGCGCACCGAACGCGAATGGTCTCATTACTGTGACTACTTGTCGCAGGACAGTCGCCGACTTTGAAAATCTGTCAAAGTGGCTAACGATCGAGTGCCCTGCTAGCTGGATACCGATGCAGTTCAATCTGACTTCGCCATTTCTAATCCCATCGAAACCTTCCCGAACAGTTCTGAGGGACATACAGATCAGGATGGACAACTTCTTCCGCAATCTTCTGACGCACGGCACCTTTTCGACACACGAGCTTGTGTGGGAGTTCTTTCTGGTGCCAGAACTTGATCCGGAAATGCTTCTGGAGCGGAGCAAGCGCAAAGCTGAAGCACGCGTAGACAACGTCAAAGACGATTTCGAGCCAATATCCGACACGCATGAAGTCGAAAACTTTGTGGAACATGCAAGGGAACAAATCAAGGGTGTTGCCTCCGCCACGAAAAAAGTCATCCGCGAGACCAACAAATATCGCATGCTGAGCAACGACATTTCGGATGCGCAAAACCTGGCCTCATCCGCTTTGTCTACATTGAACTTCCTTCCTGATCAATACCACACTGCCATTGCACGGTACAGCAGACTGCTCATACCTAGCGAAGCCTCGCCTTTCGCAGGTCTGTACTACAATCTACACGCCTTCTACTCTTCCGCAACGGCCATTCAATTCGCCACAAATCGACCGGCGTACCTCATTGGATCCATGCAACAAGCGCAGAGAACAATAGATCGCAGTAAGAACAGCATCTCTCGATCCAATCGCTGGACGCCGAATATCGGTCTCTTTGAAGACGCGAAGAAGGCTGTGGCAATGGAAGCTTGGGACAAAGCCGCCAAAGCTCGGACAGAGCTCGAGACGCTCGGAAGTGAACTGAGATATACGCAGCAGACGATCGCATCGGAGCTAGCTGTCTGGCAAGAAGAGCATGTGAGGAGCGGGAAGGAGATGTTGAGGCGTTTGGCGAGAGACACGATTGTGAAAGAGAAAGCCAAGTTGGAGGGAATGAGAAGGGCGTTGAGGTGTGCTAGGAATGGCTCAGTGTCAGCACCACCAACAGCGCATCCGAACATGGCTTCCTCGTGAGACACGGCGATTAGCTTGCTTCGAGGATATGATCATGGAGTTAGTGCACACTGAGGGAACAAGAGAAAATGACATGCTCAACGCGAGGAATCTCCTCATGTGTCCCAAACGAGGTCTCATATCCTCGCGCCGCCTCACCCTACGTTGTCTAGGCCCATCAATGTTATCCACGCAAAGCCACCAACAAGGTCAAAGTAGCAGTAGCAATTATCACAGCCACAGCAACCAGCCGAACGCTCCTCCCACTTCTCGCCTCGACGAGCTCACCATTAGCTCACCTCATCACCATCATAGTCATCACACTCCTGCATGGCGCTTCCACGTGGCCATCCAAACGCATCCTACCACACCACACCTGGAACACTAACGAATGACCTTCCGCATACGCTCTGCACGCCTCTTTACGCTTTCTCGGCCCGGAAAATCCACAATCGGCGACTACGAGAAAGCTTAAATTTTTGCTCTCTCGTTTGTGGAAGACCCTGGCTAACCACAGGAGCTGAAGCTGGCTAGCGCCTAGTTCTTGTCCTCCTCCGTTGCGAGAAAGGATAAAGGTCGGATGGACTCAGCACCACATTTGTGTACAGCTTCCGAAGGCAGAAAGAATGTATTGATGCGAACGTTGTTGTTGAGTGTCAGTCTGGACACTTTGCAGGAAATGCAGCACCACTTTGACCGTACGAGCAGTTTCTGAGACAAGCTTGAATCTACCTGTTGTCGATCGACGGAACTAGTACCTGAGCTATAGTACCCTGTCTATTCGTTGGTCGTTTGATTGTTATTAGGCAGAACAGTAGTTTCTCGAACTTCTCCGTTTCGCTCGCGTGTGCAGATGGTTGCCGAATATCTTTTTGACGCGAATTGTCGTTACTACTCTTTTCAGGAAATGGTGCACGCATATTTATTCTTCGGCCGGTGAATGGCTTGTCAAGGGTAGAGGGGAGAGGCCGACTTGATCGACAGCTATAAGGACCCTTATTTTCATTTGCTGACACCGTTGCAAGCTAGCTAGCAGGCGCGAGATTCGAAGATAGGGATCCAGATGGTCGGCAGATGGTGTGCTGAGCCGACTATTGTGGCTGAGCTGTGCTCCCGGCTTGATGAAGAAGCAGAAACGTCTGACTGTTCGGAGAAGGTCGTAAGTAATTCGACAAGGGAAGCGGATGTCAATAATCTTTTCTCTTTTTGATGGCCGTGATAGGCGTGTTCGTAAAGCTATGAATTCGTTCATTGCGCTATTCCATACATCCCGGTCCTTCAATTGTCACCCGAAGATGTCTCTCGGCTTCTCCTATATCGTACAATAGATCTCACTTTCTCCCACTTCCTGGTCGAGATGATGCCGTGTTCCGTAGACTGCCAGCCAACCCAGAAAACGCCGCGCTAAAGATACAGTATTGAATCACGAAAACGACAAGTCGAGGTCTGCCTCATCGCCGCTGTTGCCACATCGCGATGACGGTTTTGAGCATCGCGATTATTTGTTCATTCCCAGCATTTGCCTGTGCCACTTGCAGAGGCGTTTCGTACGCTTCATTCCGTACGAACGGGTCAGCGCCATGTCGCAGGAGGACTTTGACCATGCTCGCTGATCCTGTGAGTATGGCACAGTGCAGCGCTGTGCTTCCGTCGGGCATCGTCTGATTGGGGTCTGCCTTGGCGCGCAGGAGCAGCTCAGCAACGTCAGACCGCCCTGAGAATACTGCCCAGCTCAGTGCTGTGGAGCCTATGTGCGAGACTTTGCTGAGGTTCGGCCGGTGTTGTAGTAATAGTGAGATGATCTCTTTGCTCGAATATTTGCAGGCGTACATAGTCGGTGTAACCTTGTAGGCATTGTCGATGTCCACGTCCGCTCCGTGTTCGAGAAGCAGGCTCACAATGTCGAAGCTGTTGCTTCGGCACGCTTGGTGGAGAGGGCTGCTGGCGGATTTCGTAGTGCATGGCGAGATTTCGGCGCCGCTCGCAATGAGGAACTTCACCGCAGCCAGCTGACCATTCGAGGCGGCTCCGGCAAGAGGTGAAAGGTGACCACTCTTGGCAGGCTTGAAGGCCTCAAAAACGCCCGGAACCAGCACGGAAGAGTTGACCGATGCGCCTTGGCTAATTGCGGATCGCATCGCTTGCAAGTCACCAGCACATGCTGCGACGAAGAGAGAATTGGCAATCTGGCTTGGCGTCCTGGCTGGTGATGTAGTAGTGCGTCTTGATGATGTCTGCAACGATGCTGGTGATGTTGTTCCTGGCGAAGCTGGAGGCGACCATTTTGATAATGCAGCTTGAAATGCAGGTACTGCCGGTGCGAGAGAAGACGGTTTGTGTGATCGAACCATTGTCCTTTTGGCATGTGAGGAGCTGGATTGCGGTCAGTACAGCATTTGAACGTCCAGTGTGTTCCACCTACTCTTGCTGAGCTTGCTGCTGCTGTTGTTTCACTTCGCTCTCGAACACACAGGAGTCTTGTCGCTTGAGCGTGTCTGAGTCGTCAGCCGCGCTTCGACGGATGGAGTGCTCGACAAAGCGCTCAAAGGAGCGCATGGTGTCGAAACCTATCTTGAAGGATCGGCAGAGTCAAGATGAATGAATATGGTTCAGGCAGATATGTGAAGTAGGCAGAAGTGCACAGGATATAACTCCCCGATGGCTTGCTGCCCGTTCAAGCCCATTCAAGCCAAGTGGAGCTCAGTAGTTAGCGCAGGTGCCGCCTCAGCTGATATGGGGGTGGTCTGGTCCGTGTAGAGTGAGGAAGGGTATCTAGTCCAAGGCTGGAGGTGGTGCGTTGCTGGTCAGGAGGATATATCACATCGCACGCATACTGGGCAGCAGCAGCGCATGAAGGCATTAAGAACAGATGCGACGCGGGCGTCAACACCACGGCAGGCCGGGCTTACTCACGCATGCTGGAGACGAAGCGGAGCAGCACAGTCATGGCGGTGACGCCAAGCACAGACGTTAGATTGCGCTGCGAGGCCGACCGCGAGCGCCCTCCGCTCTTTGCGCGGCAGCAGCGCCCTCGCGGCCAGCAAAACAGGCGGCCGCGAGCTGGAGAGTTTCGGTGAAGGATCATGCGGGTCTGGCGGCAGCAGCAGCTCCGCCCAGTCGAGGAATGCCACTAGGCAAGGTCGCGGGCGTACAGCGCATGGGTCAGCGCTGCACCCCTGGCGACTCCGTGCGGTCGTGGAGCTCGCGCGTCGCTTACGCTCCCGACGAGGCGGCGGCAGGATGCGCGTGGTGTGAGAGTTGTGTATCAGGAGAGCAGCACGGCAGAGTAGCATTCGGAGGGAGCAGCCCTACGTGATGCACTACTCACCATTCACGTCCTTCTCTCACATGTTGCTGCGAGCCAAGCAAAGGCTCGTGCCGCCCCCGCAGAGTGCCCGCGACCCGCAAGATCTCATCATGCAACTCAGAGCTGTGGAGAGCGCTTCGCTTCACCACCAACTTCCCAATCGCGTTGCACCGCCACACCTCTCTATCCACTTGCCGGACCGCCGCGTTGGTCATACCATTCGACATTATTGCGCGTATCGCTGCGTGACACCGTGCATGCGGACTCCATTCCAGCGCGCACCGGTGGACCTCCTCGCAGACACTGCCACCGGTGAATAGCAAGATGCTGAAGCTGAAAATCGGAGCCGGCACCAAGGCCGCACAACAGGGCGGCGGCGCCAGTGGAAGCGGCGATGGCGACAAGACACCACAGACACCTGGTGCGAGCACACCGGGCGGCGGCGGCATCAAACTGAAGTTGAACTTCTCACATCCTCCGACTCCCGTCGAACCAGGACCATCGTCGCTCAACCCGCCGGCGAGCGCCCCGGCGGAGAAGAAGAAGCGCGCATATACCAAAAAGGCTACTGATGGCGCGCCCAAAAGCAAGAAGCGCGCTCTGGAGGATGACTCTGCCGCCCCGGCTGCCAAACGGAAAATCTCCCTCAAATTGGGAGGACTAGGAGGGCAAGGAGGTTCGGCAGCAGAGGCCTCAGCATCGCCGAAAATCACGCTGGGGCAGAAGAAGACAAAAGCTCAGCCGAGACTGGTCGACATTCGCGCGCGTGGTAAGGTGCCACCGCGGCCGAAAGGTGTCGGATACGATTCTGAGGATTCCGAGACCGAAAAGGACCCCGCTGTCCAGCAAGCATTGATCTTGCGCATGCAGCCCGGACCAGACGCCGAATACATCAGGAATGCGATTGCCGAAGGCAGGATTGGACCATCTTCGAGCGGCGGTGATGCGGAGGTCTCAATCAAGTTCCTCGAGCGCAATTACAGGCGCGCTTACATCAAAGTGCAAGGCAGGATGTACGGGGCAGTATTGGTCGATTTACCATGCATCGTTGAGTCGATGAAGAGCTTTGACAAAAAGGGCTGGTGGAAGGTGGCAGACATCGCACAGATGTTGCTTGTGCTCGGGAGATGCGACACAGAGGAGCAGGTGAAGACGATGCCCCTTCCGAGAGAAGTGAATAAGGAGAACTATCAATACGCACACGGAATCACGCCGCCTATGCATTGGGCTCGGAAACGCCGCTTCCGGAAGAGGCTGAACTACAACGAGGCGATGAATGTCGAAGAAGAGGTTAACAGGCTTTTGCAGGCGGACAAGGAGTGGGAGGAACGGGGAGGCTCAGTCACAAGCGCGAGGATTGGAGACCTCCAGCAACAGCAGCAGCAAGAGCAACACGAGGATGTGGAAATGGGGCAGGCAGACCAACAGAACGGGGGCTACTCATTCGAATTCGGCGATGAAGATGCGGAAGGGGAGGATGCGATAGAAACAGTCGAGCACGACGATATGGAGGAGGGCGATCCAGATCTTGAAGCAGGACTGCAGGCTATGTTCGATGAGAACGAAGACGAAGCCGACGCATCGCAGCTGATTTCCGACTCACCTGCGCCTATTGCAGATCAAGGGGCTTCTATGGCCGCTGCTGCCATGCAGTCAGATATCGATGCTACTCCTGTGGGTACTCCAGCGGCCGAGCAAACGCAGGACGAGCAATCAGACGACGAGGACGAATCGGACGAGGATGAGGATTCTCCTGATGTCGTGGACGAGGATGCTGCAGCGAAGGCAGCAGAACGTGCCCAGCAGCTAGAGGAGGTTGCTGATCTGGAACGTGAGGTGGAGCGGGCAAAATACAAAGTCAACAGCATGTCGAATCAGCTGCTGCAACAACGCGAGAGGAAGAAGTTGGCGGCGCTGGAAGAAGAACTTGCCGTGAAGAAGCAGGTCTTTGGTTTGGATATGGAGGACTGAAAGTCATGCCGCATTGTCTGCAGCTAGAAACGCCTGTCATTATGCAAACGGCATTATGTGACATGCCGTAATGAAAAAGCACCCCGCGGACTTGCCGCGAGGGTAGAGTATCACTTCCCGAACTGTGTTGCTCTTGTCGCCAAGCATGGCATACTGATGCCTCTATTGTCTTTCTGTGCTTTTGCCTTGCTTTTTGCGAAGTCCGAGCGATCCATCATATTCCTAGTGACCGTTCGTCACCCCGTTTGTCACCTTTGTACCAATCACAACCTTCTCCAGTGCCTGCTTCACATCGGCAATCAAGTCATCGGCGTCCTGAAAATACAAGTTAGCACATAGTCAAGCGGATCGATAGCATATCAAAGACAGTACTCACCTCCACACCGCAAGAAATTCGTACGAGATCGTCGAACACTCCCGCAGCCTCTCTCTGCTCCTTTGGAATTCCCATGTGCGTCATGCTCGCGGGGACCTCTACCAAACTCTCCACGCCACCCAGACTCTCCGCCAACGTGAAGATCTGTGTTGCCTCGCAGAATCTGTTCGCGGCTTCGTTTCCACCCTTGATGCGGAACGATAGCATACCACCGCCCATGCCCTCTCGGTGTTGCTTGATTGCCACTTTCCTCTGCTTGTGGCTATCCAACCCAGGATAGTTGACTGCAAGAACATGTGGGCTTGCCTCGAGAGCTTGCGCGACAGCTGTGGCGTTCTTGGTCGCTTCGCGAGCTCGCAAGTGGAGTGTCTTAGCTCCGCGGTGTGCGAGCCAGCAGTCGAATGGACTGGGCACAGCTCCGATGGCATTTTGCAAGAATTTCAGACGCTCGTGGAGAGCGTCAGAGTTGTAGGCTGCCACGCCCATGAGGACGTCTGAGTGGCCATTGATGTATTTTGTTACGCTGTGGACTACGATATCGGCGCCGTGTTCGAGAGGATTTTGAACGTAGGGTGACATGAAGGTGTTGTCGACGACGACCATGATGCCATGTTCGTGGGCGATGGCGGCTACGGCGCGGATGTCGACGAGGGAGAGCGTGGGGTTGGAGGGTGTTTCGATCCAGATCAGTTTGGTTTCTTGTGTGATTAGTTCGGAGATGTCGAGCTCGATGCTGGGGGAGAATGTGACGCGGACACCGTGTGCGGAGGCCACTTTGGTGAAGTAGCGGTGCGTGCCACCGTATACGTCTGAGACGGACACGACATGGCTACCTGCTGCGAGGCTTTGGAGAATGATTGCTGTGGTTGCTGAGCCGGATGCGAATGCTAGCGCGTACTTGGCCTTCTCGAGAGCTGCTATTGACGTCTCGAAGTTCCATCTGTTTGGGTTGGATGATCGTGTGTACTCATGGTCGCCGACTGGCTTGCCAACGGAGGTTTGTGCGAAGGTTGTGCTGAGCGAAATTGGCTCAATGACAGCTCCGGTCACTGGGTCGTGTGGCGAACCTGCGTGAACAGCCAATGTACCAAACTTGTGCACTGGAGACGGAGCTCGCGGTGGCGTCTCAATGGGGCCGTGGCCGTTCAGCTGTGGAACAGTCATTGCGCCTCGTGCTTGTCCTTGGTCGCTTTCGAAGCTGTCGTGGAAAAAGTGTCGCAGAGCCTCAGGGAGCGGTATGCGATTCGAGGGGTCAATGCTAGGAGGACGCGCGGGGTCAGATGTAGGGCGCGTCTTCGGTCGACGTCAGAAATAATTTTTCGAGTCGCTTTGCGCCGGGCTTAAGAGTGTCTCAGCGTGGAGGGCGAAGGAACGCGATTACCAATGTCGAAGGCGAGGGAATGACAATGACATATACGAGTGTTGCGCCTGACCCGGCTATTGGTATTGAACTTCTTTTATTGCGTGCTTTCAAATCACAAATTTAGACTCTGCCCTCCATGCGGTTCACTTTGTCAGGACCATCTTTTGCCGAGGGGCCGGGCCAGTCGGTGTGACACTTCCCTTTCGAGCGCACAGCTCTGTGAACAGAGAGCCGAGAGTATTTTTCGGTACCGTTTCCATACCATACCGTCCAACGGAGAATATACACGGCGGTACCTGGAGCTAGTGTCAGAAAGATGCTGACATTGGTTCATTGTTGGATTGCATCATCCTCATTTGACGTCGACGTGCTCGACCGGCCGCCACAAATGGCGCAATCGACAGGAACAAAAGTACAGCCATTTGTAGAGACATAGAGGAGTGCAGGAACGCAGGAACCGCACATGTGGTTGGTGTGGAAGCCTATGTACCTGGAGAGAGTAGTCCGATAGTTGGGGTGCATGTCACTAAACGGAGGCGCTGTCATCTATGAAGCGTGCTTACGGGCCTCAAATTTGCACTTCCTTTGTTTAAATGGCATGAGCGTCGACATCTCAAGATGTGAACTTCACTCAAGTCGTGGTGAGCGAGAGGCATTAAGGACAAGTCGCAAAGGCCGGAGGCAGGCTTCCACGGTACATTATGAGTTGCCGCAAGTCCGGCCAGACAAAAGATGGTGCACGGAAATACGGTGCCTTCTTGTCAACGGGACCAGGACAGATACGTGACTGAAGAGCATGTGTGCGATACCATGCCGGAGAGGCATTTCTCGTGTGCTCGTCCACGTTACAATAGCTTGCTTCATGCCAATTGAAGATGATCGTGGGAGTAGAGGGTGTGAGGTGCCGGCTAAAGTGGTTTCTTCATTCGACATGGTTGTCAGACACTGGCAAGGAACAGTCGCGCGCCGAGCATCCTCATCAATGCTCTACCAAATTCGGGCCATCGTTGGTGTTCCGTTGGTGTAGTATGTGGCGCTGAGAGTATGGTGGACGCGCCAGAGAGTCTTGGAGTGATAGGCTTTCGGGTGGAGGCTGCGCTATGTCTGGTAAGTTTGGGGCCCTTAAGGCACAGAGCGTGTGCGTGCCATGTGTTTCGAGCAACCAGACTCGCCGGGGAGAGTCTCGACTTCATGTTAGGCGTGCTGCGATGAGCAGGAGGAGGAGGAGCCATGCCAGTTTCCTCGATAGCGCCAAGCCTCGACGCATCATCAGCGAAGTGGCCGAAGATGAAACACGGACATCAAATCACAGCGCTCCACACAAAGGCCGCGTCCCCTGCCTGGGGCCCCTTTCTGCTCAGAGCAACGACCTGCCGCACGCCCGCTGCCAATGCGATAATCGTTTCTGTTATACAACAGACTATTCACGACGTCTCGCATGTGCCACACACAGCAACAACGGCGCGGTTGGCGGTGAGATTGTGCGCAAGTGCAGCCGGGACAGCTGTCGAGCACCTTCCACCTGGTGGATGACATTCGCAGGCCGACTATGCCACCATCTGCCAGGATTCTCCAACTGGCGGCAGCCACTACTCTCGTATTCACCTTCGCCTACTTTCTCCTGACTCCGTCCAGCGTGCACCAGCCACTGAACGTCACGCGATGGCAGAAGACCGCGCCACTGGAGCAAGCCGCCAACCTCACCTTGGACGTCGAGATACTGAAGCAACTGAACGTGCCGCAAAGCTTCAAATTCCAGCGCCACTGTATTAATGCGAGGGAGAAAGACGGCCTGACTCGAACGTCACTCATCGACATCCCGCAGCCTCTCTTCAGCGATGGCGAATTCAAGGAGATCTTGCTGGATGAGAACTTCCAACCCGATCCGCAGTACATGGCGATAATGCCGCCGTGTGATTCTGCAACTGAGATCAACGTCCCCGAATTTCAATCACATGCCGATGGCAACACACGATCACTTATGCTGGGCGTTGCGACCACGATGAAACGCATCGAGGAGAGTCTGCCTACCTTCTCACGCTGGCTGTCGAATACCGGATCGCCTCTTGTTGTTCTCCTGGTCGACCAAACCGATCTGAAGAAAGTGGATCTGGACATTTTGCGGACGAATACCCAGGCCGAAGCCCTGGGCATTGAGCTCATATTCGAGCCGTATCACCACACGTTTCAGGCTGATAGCGAGGGCCTGAAGAATTTCGGACTCGCTACCGTGCTCGATAAGAATCGCCGAGAAGAAACGCAATGGTTCGGCATCATTGATGATGACACTTTCTTCCTTTCACTGCGACGGATGGTGGAGAACCTGGGAAGATATGACCATCACTATCCATGGTATATCGGAGCATTGACCGAAGGCCACACCCGGGTGGCAAAAGAAGGATTCAAGGCATGGGGTGGTGCTGGATTTTTCATTTCACCACCCCTGATGCGAACTTTGGCAGACAATGCTGTCGAGTGCACACGCCTGGATAAATTCTTTGGTGATTTGCTGTGGCGAGACTGTATTCAGGAAGTCACCTCGCCTACCGTCCAACTCACTGAGATGCGTGGCTTGAACCAGATCGACTTGTGGAAAGACTTATCTGGATGGTACGAGGCCGGCTTCAATCCTATCCTGACTGTTCATCACTGGAAGAGCTGGCACTTCTATCCTGTTGCCGTCGGCCACATTGTTGCAGACGTTGCCGGACCAGATGCGTTCCTGCAACGATATAAATTTGGCAACCATACCGTCTTTACGAATGGCTTCAGCATTGCCGAATATCCCTTCGGCTTGCCAGATCTCAACCTTGTGGAGTTGACCATGACCGAAGACGTGAATATCCATCGTCCGCCGGAGCAATTGGAGTTTCATCACAGCTTCGGACATACACGACCTAAGATGGAGCTGGGACGCGATAAGATCCAATGGAAGTTCGAGCACGCGGTGAAGACATCTGCGGGAGTGGTCAGGCAATTCTACACGAAGAGGGAGAACCATGACATTGATGTCAGCATCATTGAGATCGACTGGCGCCACGTAGGATGAAACTGAGCTTTGCACTGATTTCTGCGAAGTCCAAGCTACTCCATCGGTGCGAGCCTGGGGCACTGTGACGAATCGAAGCAGTATACCAGCGCCTGTCTAGGTCATGCCGTGTCTTTGACGCACCGCAAATCGCACCTGGTGGCTTGAAGCCTGTGACCAGAGGCTCGGTGGACGAAACCTCGACACTGTAGTCACTTGGATTGCAGACACATTTCTCGCCCCTTCACTCCCCTATGAGACGAGTGGTGTCACCAAGGACTGGGAAAGATCGGAAGAATATATCCGAGCATTCACAACGCCTGCCTGGCTGACACGCGCCGTGAAGGGAAAAGTGTTCTTGGGAGATTCATTAGAACAGAGATACCCTATTACCGGTTATGATAGCGTTTGTTGCATTTTCAGGAAGCATTTTCAGGCGGGATTGCGTAAGGTGCATAGATTCCTTCCACTTCGTGGCTCCTTTCTCCTTAGCGTTCTCTTCTAGCATTCTATGTCAGTTCACCAAATCGAAAGTATTCAAAAGCATGGGTCATGTTTGATCCGGATGAAGTAAATCACTCAATGAATTGTGCAATTCGCTCCATCTGTCTAGCGCCGATCTACCTGAGCAAGTAGAGATAACCCGCTGCCATTGTCGCTGCCTCTGCTCAGGCATGCCGAAAGAACGCCTTCACCTATGCAGCGCGAATCAACGTCTAACATGTAAAAGCAAACCGAGATCTATCGACGGAGCTCTACCTCTTCCGGCAAGGTATTCCCATTGCCGGGAAAAGGATATCGCGATGCATTCGAAAGTGCAATACTCCGATATACCACTGCCTCGACAAACAAGCCTCCCTCATTAAGCACGATCCTGTCTCCGTCTCAAGTTCCTTGTCCGCTTCATAAGCTTCTTATACTTGTGCTTCTTCATCTTCAACTTTCGCTGGCGCTTGACAGAAATCAGAAGCATGCGATTGAGCCTAGATGCACTGGGAGCATTTCGGATGAAAGATTGTCCCATTGGTCTGGCTGTCATCTTCTCTTGTTGGCGGAGGAAGTATGCTCTCTGGTTGCGCTGCATACGTTCTCGGAAGCCGCTGCGGTTGCTTTCCTGCGCAGGCTCTTCAACTACGGCCTGTGATTCCGGAATGCGGACGATGGGTGATGTAGATGCGGTATATGTCGTCTGCCCTGTCTCGCTGGTAGACTCCGTAAGGAAGATCGTGGTGGCGTAATGCTTCTGTTTTGGTTTGGAGGCCTTCTTCTTCTCCACAGCTTTCACTTCCTCGGGAAAGGGCTGTGGCGGAGGAGGTGCCTCAAATGGCCGAAACTGGGCGACCATCTCGTCCAATGTCTTCAATCGTGGCGGTCCGTCAAGATGCTTCACACCGTCGTGCTGCCCTGACTGTTCCTGCATGACTTCCCATCGCACGCCGTCCTCTTCTGTCTGCCCTGTTTTGATCTCCATGTCCTCGAATTGATGGCGCAGTGCGTACACAACATCTTCTGGCCTTCCTTCTGCTGAATTCCCATTCTCCCATGGATCTCGCGGTTTTCGAGACTCGAATATCCGGTCAAAGGCTTCGGTGCTCGATGGAGGCGGTATTGTGGATCCTAAGGAGAGTGGTCGATGCAACGAGAAGAAGTTGGATACGGAGAATTCTAGATACGAGCGACAAATGTCAGTCCAACCGCATCTCCTAGGGCCCGATTTACTCACCTGGATACTGCATGTGCATTCCAGGCACGGCAGGCAATCCCGCAAACTGATCCTCCTGCTTATCGGGCACTGCGGTAGTCCGCGAACGCTTTGCCCGGGTGACTTTCTTATTCCCTCGCTGCTGCGATGCCGGCTCTGTCATGACCGCCTTCTCCTCCGCGACGGGCTTTGCAGCTGGTGCTGGTTTGCCATCGCTCGCAGCGTTCTCCGGAGGGCATGATGACGCCTTACTGCTGCTGCTGGACGGCCTGCGCTGATGCGGTTGTTGGCGAGCGGCTAAGCACTGTGTCGTTCGCTGAACGGCGGTAGTCGAAGAGCTGCCCGGACTGGCGACTGCAGCGCATGTGCGGTTCGCAGCGCGGGCGAGCGATTTGGAGAACATGGCCTTTGTGGGAGCCTCGGTGGGTGATGCGAGGCTCTTGAAGAGTGCAGATGCACGAGGGGTGTGACGAGCTATTGTTGCGTGATGGGAGTCGGTCAAAGCAGGCACACCACCGAGTCTTGCCGCCGTCTCCACTTCAACCTTCAGCCACCTCGGAGTGCTGCCCACTACAAAGTACAAGGTCAGGCGGAACAAAAGACCGGACTACCTCTCTCACGCTTCACAGCAGTACGAGTACCACAGGCGAACTGCAATGTGACAAGTCATCACATAGGGCACGTAGACACATCTTACGCTCTTGGCTACCTGTTGATCTCGGATATCATCCTTCCCGAACAGATACAGTACACATCACATGCTTCGCGGCTGAACGTATTCCACTGTCTTACCAATATAAAATCAAGCTACAAGAGCTTTCGGCTGATCAGTTAGCTTTAATCATGGCCACATCTATCACAGACGAGAAAAGGCGTGAGTTGCCTTCCCAGGCTACGCTTGACGAAGTGGGCGAGATCAACATCAAAGACAAAGACGGCAAAGAGGTGCCGCTCAAGTCGCTGTACACTGGCAAGCCGGCGAACGAACGGCAACTCATCATCTTCGTTCGACACTTCTTCTGTGGCGTAAGTTGTTATGTCCGTCCCGCAGCGAGGCCTACACCAACACATCTCTAGTCATGTGAACAGTACATCGAAGCGCTCGCGAAAGACTTGCCGCCAGCCAAGCTGTCCGCTGTGAACACGACCCTCACCATCATCGGATCCGGAGAGCCTATTTTGATTGAAGGCTACGCAAAGCGCACTGGATCACCTTTTCCAGTTTACACAGACAACTCAGTCCAGATTTACAAGAAACTTGGCATGGTTAGCACTCTCAAAGGGTCAATGGGAGGTCCTAAGTATACCCACAAGGGGTTCTTCAAGAACACGATCGATTCTATGTGGAATTCTGTCATGTCTGGTCATCCACTTTCGAGTGGGCCACCAGCTCAGAACGGAGGCGAGTTGTTGTTTCAGAACGGAGAGTTGAAATGGTGCTCGAGAATGGTGAGTTTGATCTTCGACATGGGAGAGTCTTGATTGCTGATCGTGGCGCGCAGCGCAATCCTACTGACCACACGGAAGTTGACGAGCTGAAGGAGGTACTTGGCATCACAGAGTGATCGATTGCAGAATACCAGTCGCACAGCACAAGAATACCCTCAATCTGTCGTTCCATGAAATAACCATTTAGCTTCAACGCGCAAGGTTCACTCAAATAGCAGTGCAGGCATGGTACCTCTTACATGCAGACGAGTGTCGTAGGTTTGAACGCGTTTCTCAACATCAGCGCCAGTTCCAACATATCGCCCTCACAACAGACTCGTTCTTTCGTAGACCGCAGCCCGCTACTCAACTGATGGCCAAGACTTGAGATATATATACGCAACGGGTACTCCCGCTTGTTATTGCCATCGTGGCCGAGTGGTCTAAGGCGGTAGATTTAAGTCAGTCCACGACATGAAACTCTACTGGGGAGACCCGCGCGCGTTCGAACCGCGTCGATGTAGGTTATGAAGTAAAGTTGTCCTGCGAAGGACGTCCACTTACGCTTCATTAGGGCATCGTCACATAAGTACGAGATGCAATATCTCTACTAATCTTTTTTGGTTTCCGCAGCATCCTCCTACTTTCTCAGTATGGAAGCCACTCTGAAGGTGGAAGTAGCTACTCGACTTTTGAGGCACAGACCCGCCCTTCATAAAAGATGCCAGAAATGTCGTGGCAGGCAGCATGCCTTTCATTTGCCTCGTGATGCATCTACGGTGGCTCACACCGTCCCCATTCTACTAATCGAATCGAGTACATGTCTGAAAGTTTTGCAGTGCCACTTTCTGCAGGCTGTGAGGTGACACCAAACGTTCCGCCTCGTCAACTCAGCCTCTGGCTGCGGTTTTGTCTTCGGCAAAGGATTGAGGAACATGGTTCGCACTCTGCCTGGCACAGGCAGAGCAGTGTCGAAGTGCGAAACAACGGACGTCCCCTGTACGTTGCTGTTCTCCATTATTGGGTGAAAGTGTGCAGCAACAGGCGGCTAATGCAGGTCTGGAGCGAGGTCTTCACCGGAAAATGACGATGTCATGGAAGGCGCAACGTGAGGCCGCCAGATAATAGCCACTATGTTTTCGCTGACTTCGCCTCAGTATAGCACTCAACTTCATTGACTCCTACACACCGCACTGCCTTGGTAATTGAACATGGTGAAGTATCCTTGCGCTTTCTGCTGTCCTCTCTTCTGCTCCGCTGTGCACGTTTCTTCGTACTTTCATTGCAAGTCCCCAGGCTTGGTCGAGCTTCTGTAGCGAGAGATACGACTTACCCTTCGGCAGAGTGCTGCGCCGTGTTCTGATTGACCTACATCATTGAGGTATTCTAGCTGCCCGCGCAGCGACTAACAGGCCTCTGGATTATCGCCTGCACCGACGCCCGCACGAATTCTCGAGCCGACTCTCTCGAACGACGTTTCCGCCGTTGCTGTCGACGACTGAGCAGGGGATCGCCGCTCTATCCCACCTCTGCCCCTTCATAGCGCTCACTGGCCGCGACAACGCCAACACCGTTGCCATTCTGCCACTGCGATACATTGCCTCTCCCCATTCAAAATGTCCACGAGCCGATAGAAATCAAATCAAGCTGGCTCATCTCTTCTCTTCCGTTCGAGACTGACCCGAACAACACAAGCCGCGACTTTCGAGCAGTCTTATCCGCTGTGACAGCGCGATCCAGAAGGTTCGTGCAGCCCAGCAAGTGGTAACAAGCCAAGGCAACCGCGATCTTCGCAGTATCACAACTGGTCCACGCCATCGCTAGGCCACGGTCGCCTCCTCGTTTGCTCTCCGGCCGTATCGCTTCGAGTCTAGGTCGGCATGCTGAAGAGGAGCGGTACGGTCGCAACAGTATGACGCGAGCCAGTCAGCGCATCTTTCCGGGAATGAACAGTCGCGAGGCCCACTGGCAAATCGACGACACCTCTCAGCAGTGGCAGCTCGATCTCATTCGGGCCCGTGGTGCGTCTCCTGCGGCGTCTCGCATTGCGAAGACGCGCAAGAAGAAGTGCCTGGCGGAGGAAGACCAAGACCCCGCAGGCGCGATGGCCGTCGCGTCCAATCATGACTGGGCAAGTGGGCCGGAGCCGAAGGCGACCAGCCAGCCGCGGGCGCTCAGCCACACGACCTTCAATTATTCGAGCAGTCCCCATCCTGCAACACTCCCACCAAGCACGCAGAGCCGTGAGTCACCTAGTGGCCGTCAGCTGCCTAGCGCATTCAGCACTAATTCGCTGCCAGCATCAGGCGTCATCTGGAGCCCGGAAGTCTGTCAGAGCGCGCCGAGTCTTGGGCTGCTGTATAACACGTGCACTGCCGCACTGCCTCGACCGGGAGTCGCGGCCTTTGCACCGAGTGGGAATCTGTCGGCGTCGGTGCCTCAGGACGGGCGCATTTCATCCGTCGACTTGCACAATTCATCAACAGCGACATCGACGTGGCTGCACGACAACCAGTGGGCAGCAGGCTTCTTTACTGATTCCAGCGGTGTCGACAACTCGCATTCTTTGCCACCCCGTCTGCCGCCCAACCAGGGACCTCCGACCATAAGACTCACTACTGCGACCGCCGCATCCCAGCCTCAGGCCGCGTACCTCTCAGCATCGGCATCGCCACCTGCAGGCCGCGATAATAATCACATTCCGGCCTTTCTCTCACATCCGCATTCGCAAATGTCTCCATACATGGCGAATGAGACGATGGAACCCATCCAGGCGCCCGTGTCGCCCATCAGCCCGCGTCAGTCGCCGCACGACACGACGATGGGCGACCAGCAGCACCAACTGCCTCGAAAACGATCACATTCTGTCATGTCGCAACAGCACGATGCCGCGATAGTAGATGTGTTACATAGCCGCGCGCCTTCAACTCACTCGCAAACGGGCGCGTCGCCGACTGAAGAATTCTCCCCACGAGGCTCACGAGCTTTCAAGCGCGGCGATCCCCCGATGAATACAGAAGGTAAATACATATGCAACTTCTCGGACGATTGTAATGGCCAAGTATTTGAGCGAAAATGCGAATGGAGGTGAGTCTACCCTGTGGTGTCATCTTTGCACTGTATCTGACATGATCATAGTAAGCACATGGACAAGCACGATCGACCATACCGGTGTCCACATCCATCATGTGCCAAACTCCAAGGCTTCACGTACAGTGGCGGGCTGCTACGACATGAGCGAGAAGTTCACAACAAGCACGGCGGACCCAAGGCCCAGCTAGTATGTCCGTTCACGGATTGCAAGCGACATTCCGGAAAGGGCTTTACGAGGAAGGAGAACCTCAACGAACACCTACGGCGAGTGCACAATAATAAGGATGCGAGCTCTCAGCAAGACGCCATCTTGGAGCCAAATGGCAACGAAGTCGTTCCCGGGGCTCTCGATGGCGAAACCCAAGCGAGTACCATGACGACTACTGGCGGCGAAGACCTATCATCTCTTGAGCCGAGTCTGAAGCGAAAACGTTCTAATCCGCCTCAAGATCAGGTGGGATTATCCGCGCTGGACGAGAACAACATGATGCAGGAAATGCATCGATTACGTCAAGAGAACGCATGGCAGGCCGACCGCATTCGACAACTCGAAGCTGCAGCGGCCATGAACGCCGAAAAGACGCAGCGGCTAGAAGAGACTATTAGTCTGTGGGCGCAGCAACAAAGTCAAGCACATGCACAGCACGAGCAGCAGCAACAGCCGGAGCAACCGCTTATGCAACATCATGAGCCAGATCAGCAACAGTTCGCTCCACAGCACGAGGAGTCGCAGAACAATGAGCATCAACAACTCGCCGAGCAGCAGATTGCTGAGCATCACCTCACAGAGCAGCATCTGAGCGATCAACAGCTAGGGGAGCAACAGCTTGGTCAGCATGGTACTGTGGAAGGAGACATGAAAGCGGTATTCGAAGCTGTGCACGCAGAGGGAAGCTAGGAGCTTGCCGCCGCTCATGCAGCACCGTCACTTTTTGTCTACGGCACATTGCAAGGAGATTAGATGCTATTTGAGCTCATTCCGGTATCGAGTCTCTATCTCTATTGGCGGGTTGGCAAGGCCTCGTCGAGAATGAGGCGCAGCGTGCGCTCACCCGGCTTGTGATCGGCGGAGATTGGAGGATGTTTGGGGCAAGAAAAGCTGCTGCCTACTTCACCGACACAGCTTGTATTTTCGTCTTTCGTTATGTTTTGCGCTTCGCTGCTCACAATACCCCACAATCGTAGCGTCATAGAATGTGCTAATACTAAGTTGGTCAATCCAAGACTTTGGATCTTACATTGTGGTTGAGAGGTGACGTTGGAAGTGAAATGATATGCCTCAGGCAGATGAAATCCGAAATTTTTCTGTCATCACGCAGCTTCTCCAATGCTCTGTTCGCTACCCCTGGTGCCGTTGTGCCTCGCGCAAACATTGGAGACATTGCATCTCTGCACAGAATATCTGGTCACTTGTTTATCTGACTCTCTTACAGTGTACCGCATCCGCGTCCTTCACCACGGCAACTCATACCCTTCGCGATGCCAGAATTTGCCCGTCTCTTCGATCCCCTTCTCCTGCACAATAGCCCATAACTTCGTCGCCGCCTCCTCCGGCTGAACAGCCTCTGCGGGTGCCGAAGCCTCAGGCGTCAAATTCGATATCACAATTCCCGGATGCAACAGATCCACCACTATACCTTTCTCTTTCAATTCCACTGCCATGTTTTTACCGATACTGTTTACTGCGGCTTTTGAAGCACGGTAAGCATAATTTCCGCCTGTGCTGTTATCGCCTATGCTTCCGACGCGGGAGCTTACGATTCCAACCTTTGGGTTGGAGGATTGGAGAAGGTTGGGGAGGAGGGCTTGGGTTAGGAGGAGGGGACCGAAGGTGTTGGTTTCGAAAATGCGGGTTAGGATGTCTTTTGTTACGGTGGAGAGTTCGTCGTTGCCGGTTCCGGGGGCCATTACTCCGGCGATGTTGAGGAGGAGGTCTACGGGTTTGTTGACGAGTTGGGCGGCGAAGCCGGAGATTGATTCTGGAGAGCGGACGTCGAGACCTGTTGGTGTGAGTGGTGTGAGAGGCTACTGACTGGCGTCAGTTGGAACGTGGCTCTGCTCACGATGTAGGCGACACTGAAGGGACTGCAGTTGTACTCCCACTTCATGGTCTGCGGCCTGCGTGGACGAGTCAACTTCCCCTCTGCTATCTTGAAGTTGCTTCGTCACTTCGTACATGTACCTCATAGCCCTACCGGTCCTTGTCAGTCGCATGCTCGAGCCGCTGCTCAGCTTGCCTTACCTCGCTGATCAAGATATTGGCAAAGGCATGGCCAATACCTGAGTTAGCTCCTGTCACAACCGCCGTAGGCATCTCGCAGGTATTTTCCGACTGATATAACGAGCAAATGTGCTTGACTAGAGTGGTAGGAAATATGTTCACTTGCTCTTGATTCCGGCATTGATCCTGAGGGGACATCAACGTCATCGCTGCTCGGCCGCATGTGCTGCTGTACGCCTTTCTACAACAGCTGTGGCTCTGGTGCTGGGCATATAAAGTCAGCCGTGCCAAAGCAGAGCTCAACTGCTTTGAAAGCCATGGGCGGCTGGAGCCGATGCTGGTCTGTGTATATGATGAGCAGGAGGAAGTGGCCTGCCGTGTAGGTTGGGCAGCAGCGACCGGCACGTGACGCCCATGGAGCAGCCACGGGAATTGATGAGACTGAGTCATTGCACTGACGGCACTTGCTTAATGCCCGTCAATCCCCCTTGAAGATGAGCGATGTCCCATTCCCGTTTCAACGTTATAGGGAGGCGAGTGGACTAGTGCAGGAGGATTCCGACGACCTTGAGGTTGTTGATCTTTCCCTGCCGACTCATCATTCTCGGTGTCCGAGTTCAGAAGATTGCAATATTCTATAGCGAACAGGCGATCGTTTCAACATTGATGTCCTCACGTGGATCACAAGCTTCTTCGCTGGAAAGACAAAATTTCACTGAACAAGGCCCATCGTCGGCTGATCTCATGGTTAGGAGAGAAGTAGGCACTTCCCTGCACAAAAAGTATCAACTTCAATATAGCCGCGCAGAAACTACTGGCGCTGGCCATAGTACAGGCATTCCTGGGTTTCACCACGACCTACCGGTGCTGCGGTTTGATCTTCACTGGCGCAAGATCTTCGTCCTGACATGAAGATCAGGTGGTCGTGGGGTGTCCCATCTGCAAGTCATCGATTAGCCAATTGCTTCGACTCCTGTCTACGGTATCCACTCTATGCTGGCACAGCGACGTGGTCCGAGTGCAACGCTTCATTTCGCCAGGCATGTCAATGTGCATCACGAGCAAGTATGCGAATCGCCAGTCATGTCAGCCGCGGATAGAAACGTTACGGCGTGGATAGCGAGTCGCCTTGCGGACTACCGACGCATGCGCGGCGCTCTCCACAGACCATGACCGTGGATACCTCTGGATGCAACGACCTCTGAGTGCAAGCGCCTAATCAGAATGGCTCTCGGTCCATGACATGCTTTGCTGATTGGCTTAGCGACCTTCGGTTGCACTCAGAGGTAGTTGCATTCAGAGGTATTCAGGCTTATACTGGCGCGGCATCTTGGAATGCTGCTCGGACAGTTGCCTCGTCTGTACGACTGCCTCTGCGGCAAGCCGAGGCGCTTTGCATGGCAGATATCTCGTTTAGCAATGTGCAACATCGCCTGTTGCTGAGGTAAGTGCAGATGTGTGCTGCGATCCATGGAAGCACTTGCCCGCGATCGACCGGAAAGGAGCCTGCAGAGCAGGAAACGCATACCGCGGAGCAGCAAGCCGATGCATGTTGATAGCGTGAGAAAGGGCATCGATGCCATTTGGGTCGTGTCGCAGGTGATCGAGCAGAATCAGAGTATTTTCTTCCAGCTTCGCATGGCAATAAAGTGTGGTCATGGGACTCTCTCCGCGTTCAGACCACCTGTCCTGGAGTGGTGAAGCTCCGACCAGTTGTCGAGGAAGCTTATCGCAAGAACAGAGCGCAGCGCAGGAATGATTGCGGGTTCGAAGTGCCAGCGCGCTGCTCATGCGATCAAATTGCAAATTTGACATGGAAAGTGTCGGAAGTTTACCGTCTGCATGGATCCAAGCGTCTCGTGGCGTGATGTGACACGATATCGTCGAAGCTGCACGACTTGTCCGCGGTTTCGCTCCCTCGAAGGCAGTGTTGCATCTATTTGCATTGACCGGATGAGACGGCGGCTGCAGCAAGGCAATTTGTAGCACGTAAGCAGCAACAAGTGGTCGCTATTATTGCTGTACACGTTGTCACTGCTGCTATGCATATTGAAAAGGCTATTGAGTTTCTGGCGGCCACGTGCTCGACGCCTCGCTGTGTTGTATGCACGGGTGCAGATTGGTGTCATCGTACACGAAAAATCTCGCGTCGCTGTCAACGTGATCATGCTTTGCGTTGTGCGTCGAGGCGTGCAGAGCGCGTGCCGCCATGAGCACTGTTCCGTCGTCTCGTATGTGACAGAACATTCCATGCATGAGGCCGGTGTATCGTTCGACTCGGAAACTTGACCATGCGCCATGCCACCAAGGTAGGGTCAGATCGAGCTGGCCAACATGCTTCAATGTTGAGCGTTTCGTGCTATGTTTGTCGAGAAACACAACACCGGTGCCGACGCCTCGGATTGTAAAAAACATGACGCCAATCATGCATACCCCAGCAGGACATCGTCTCGTCTGCTTGCATGCCGAATCGCTTGGGATTCGGACATGAAAAAGGTGTGGCTTTCATTGGCGAAGCACGCCTTGAACCACGCGCGCAAAAGCCGCTCCTTCGCGCGTCGCTGCCCGCTGACGCTGCTGTGCTGTGGTGCTTGCGCTCGACGATACCGCCGGCAGTGTGGCTCGGCCAATGGTGAGTCAGACGTCGTCGTTGCGGTCTGCTATACGCCCATGACAAGTCGGCAGTGCAGTGCCGGCCACTACTGAGCAGGCCAGGGATATCAACAAAACCTGCTTTGCTTTTCTTCACCGCCAGGCTCACGGCACGCGTGATTCCTTGGGAGCGTCGTCAAGATCCAGAAATGTTCATTCGTGGTCGATTGGGCCGATGGAAACCTACTTTGGGTGTTTATGCTTCGTCGAGTCCGCGGCGGCACTGTTAGGTTCGCTGACTGTGTGGAGAGCTCCCCTGCACGAGCCGGGGGGCTGACATTTCTACGCTCGAGGGAAGAGTAAGGCATCGTATGGCAGCGACGCTATAGGCAACGCCGCGCTCGCCGCTGGCTACCGGTCCTCGGCGGTCACGTAGCTCGTTTAAGCACGGAAGCGAATGGAATGGATGGCATTGCATCGCATCGTCCGATGAGCATCACAGCATGCTCACGCCGCTCCACCGCTGCAGACAATGCTCCCTGGACGAGCGGCAGCCTCACGTGGGAGTCGGCTCATGTAACGATAAGAAAGGGAGCGGCTCCACTGCAGCGCACATCCTGGGCCGTCAGGATGGTGCGATCACAGGCACTCCGTAACGCCGGCGTTCGTGAGTGAGACTCGAGTCGCCGCAGCAGGCGGAGCTCTACGCGGGGGCGGGCGCGTTGCGTTGACGGTCGGCGTGAACTGCGAGCGACAGCAGCAGCAGCAGCAGAACCAACGGGCACGCATATTAGCCAAGGTGGATTCTACCAGAAAAAGACGAGCTGTCGGCGCAGGAGGAGCACGAGTAGTTCGCACCCAAAAAATAGCTCTCGCGATGCCTTCCCCGGGGTCCGCGTAGCCGGGACTGACACTACTTGCGGCTCGCTCGCTCTGCCAAAACACGGCGAACGACCACGGCCGGCTGCATGCATGGCATGGCCCTCGTGATGCTGCGCGAGGCATTCTTAGCCTGCCAGCGCAGCAGAGCTAGCCCGCTGGTCCTCTCGCAGGTACCAGCAGCAGTGGCAGCAGCAGCAGCAAGCGCTCACGGCCGAAACGCGCCAGCGCGCAGCGCAGCGCTGAGACACGAACGAAACCGTGTTCACGCAGTGCCATCGGCACTTGCACCCAAGATGAAAGGCAGTTTGTTGGGGCGCGCTGCGGGATGATGTCAACGCAACCGGGTCGGGAGCGCTCCTGCTTCCTGCACCGTGCCTGATGAGATTCGGGGTGAATAATGGAGCGTGCCTTGTCAGCGCTGGCGGAGCTTCTGCTGGCTGGCGTGGTGTCGTGCTGCGCGGTGATGCACATGCAACAGATCCGCGCGATTCCTTGCGCTGAGACTCCGACAGGCACGCGCACCGCCGCATCACCAGCCTGCCCGCCTGCCAGACCGACCAGCATCCGCCGTGGATCTGCAGCGACGTTTTGGCTGCACACGATTCGACGGAGCACAAGGTTTTCTCAGCCTTCTGGCGACGATCTCCAGGGTCAGGGAGGAAGCAGTTTTGGTGGCCCTTGAGCCTTGGGCCTGGCAAGCTGGCTAGTTAGTGCCGCTCGCTAGCTTTCTCGTGCTGCGTGCTTGCTCACTGTCTGAACGCAACGATTCACACATCACCGACCGCTTTTCCATCCTCGCCAACCTCACCTCAGTCATTCCTTCTCACCTCCGCCGCTACACATAGACCCCGGGCGCCAGGACGCGACCCAGCGACAGCAGCGCGCCACTCCCACCGCCAGAGAGGACAACACTTTTCGACAGCTGCCGTTACACGACCGCTCTGACACAGGCACGCTGCTGCTGCTCCTGCTGCGCGCGCACCTCATTCCTGCGCACCACGCTCTGATCCGAACTTAAAGCACCCCCACATACTGCTGCGGATTCATTCCCATTGCAATCAGCCCTGCATACTCCTGCTGGCCTGCGGCGCAGTGCACCGCAGACTGTGCCGAGCCCTGTCGTCTTCCTGCCTGGTTGCAGCAAGCGACAGATACAGCACGCCGCTCCGCAATCCTTCTCAGGCAAGCACGACTATACCACCAGGCCGGACCTACCGCGCTGTGCGCACTCAACGACTCCTCATCGCAATCAATTGCCTTGGAACCCGTCCAGAAAGTCAGCGCGCCCTCGCCTCCTCGGTGCTACCCGCAGACTCGGCCCCCATTGAGCGCTCCTGGGTTGGGATTCCATCAAACTTGGCGCCATCTTGCCAGGACGACTGTCTCCCGCTGCGCAATCCCGTCTCGACTCACCGGCTGTGCTCTCTGGTGTGACAGCATATCGTTTGGCGACGCTCTCTATCGCTGGTCACCATGAGCAGGCATTGTCGACTCGAATAACCCACTCCATCACCTACCTGTAACAGCCATGAACCTCTCCTCCGGCACTCGCAGCCAAGATGCCTTCTCGGCACGCACTGCTGCTGGTCCTGGATCCCTCCCTAAGGCGCACGCTACTCCTTCGCATTCTCAGCCGGCGAGAATCAATACAGCTATAGCCTTGACCATTACTCCCTCTTCAGCTGGCATGACTGCTTCGTCTGTCCCGAGTCGGAGCAGCTCTCTGCATCACATCTACTCAGTCAAATCGTATCGCAACGTATCTCAAGACTCTTTGGCTGAGAGCAGAATGTCTCCTCAGACATATCCTTCTCCCTCCTCGGTTCCACGGAGGGCGATGTCAGATCGTGCATTTTCAGAGCGCTCGCCTTCGCCACATACCCGCGTAGGACATCCTGGAGCGATGGCGGAGGCCATGTCTGCGACTGGTCGAGGCGATGGTCTCTTTCGGAGGTTGTCTCGAGGCGCTTCGAACAAGCTTAGACGCCGCGCATCCACCACGCATTCGCTTCGTATGCGGGACCAAAGCGCTGGACCCCTGCTAGTCCGTCGTCGCAGTGACAGCAATGGAGCTTCGGATTTTCAAGATGTGTCGGACCTGGAGCTGGACAGCAACCTGGATGATATGGACGAGTGCCCTCCCTACGTCAAGGATCGGAGCAATGCACTTGGAATCAACGTCGGGCGTCCTACCCTTGTGTCGCACGGTACGGGCAGCACATTCGTGGGTGGGATCGCGCCATCATCCTCTGCAATCCTGGAAAAGGGCACTTGGGTCTGGAAGCACACGCGGCGCAGCAGAAAGCGAATTCAATTGCGACTTGACTCAAGCTCAGCGAGAGTGTGCTGGCACGGCAAGCGACCCGACAAATCCTTCTTCATTGACGATGTCAGAGAGATGCGCGTTGGCGAGGAGTCTCGGAACGCTCGAGACGATATCAAGGTCCCTGCAGACCAGGAAGACCTACTTGTCACTATCGTCTATGCTGTGGCAGAACGATCCAAAGGCCGTAGCATCAAAACCATGCATATCGTGATGCCGGACCACTACATCATGAAACTGTGGACCAATGCGCTCAACATCGTGACGCGGCAGCGCATAGAGGTCATGAACGCATTATCCTCAAATCCGGAGAAGGCAGAGAAAGGGATGGCCTTGGCTTGGAAGCAGGTCATGAGCCAGAAAGACGTCACTCAAGAAGAGCGATTGACTCTTGCAGATGCCATGGCTTTGTGCCGGTCGTTGGAGATCAACTGCTCCGAATCTGCAGTCAAGACACACTTCAAGGCGATCGGTCGTGATGAACATGCAGCACTCACCTATGACCAGTACAAAGATTTTCTCCAGTCCTTCCGGGAGCGAAAGGATGTCACCCACATCTTCAAAAATTGGCAGCTTGGCACCGACCACGACATGGTTCTAGAAACCTTCTTGGAATTCATGCGCTACGAGCAAAAGGCTGATGTTGACAAGGATCGTGCTTACTGGGAAGCTGTCTTCCAAAGGTTTGCACGACCTGGAAACAACCGTCCAACCCTACCTGATGCTGCCCCACAGCTGTACCAAAAGGTGTGGACAACTCAGAGCTTCCAGACGTTCTTGACCTCATCATTCACATCTCCTCTTGCACCACTCGGCGGTGAACCCTTTCTGGACAGACCGCTGAATGAATATTTCATCTCGAGCTCACACAACACCTATCTGCTCGGGCGACAAGTTGCTGGCACATCGAGCGTTGAAGGCTACATCTCTGCGCTGGTCAAAGGCTGTCGCTGCGTCGAGATTGATTGTTGGGACGGCGATGATGGTCGACCCATCGTGACCCACGGACGGACAATGACCAGCAAGATTCCATTCGAAGACTGCGTGTCGGTCGTTGCAAAATATGCCTTCCACAGCTCGCCATACCCATTGGTCGTCTCTCTCGAAGTGCACTGCAACCCCGAACAACAGCTTGTCATGGTGGAGCTGATGCGCAAGTACTTCGGCACCATGATGGTCACTGAGCCAATCTCGAACAACACTGTCAGCCTGCCTTCACCAGAGGAGCTGCGCAACAGGATCTTGATCAAGGTGAAAGCATCGGCGGAAATAGAGCAACTGCAGTCGCTTTCGGAAGCTCCCACTGGTCGCAGCAGAGCACGGAGTCTCACGCAGACTTTCGGCCGCGCGCCGTCTACAGAGACTTCCAGCACAACATCGTCCCCGCTGGTTTCCGGTTCTTCGGCGACGAGTCCGTCTGAAGTCAATGGCGTTTTCACGCCCCGAGGATCGATTCCATCCGGAGTCATCACTCCTAGCAGTTCTGCAGACGACAGCGACGAAGTTCGTCAGCCCGTGGACAGGGCGAAGCGACGGGGCAACAAGACTCGCATCATCCACGAGCTTGGCAAGCTGGGTGTGTACGCGCAGGGCATCAAATTTGGTGCTGGCTTCCAGACGCCCGCCGGCAAAACCTACAACCACATCTATTCCTTCAACGAGAACACATTCGACGATCTATGCACGAAGAAGACGGACAACAAAGCTCTCTTGGAGAAGCACAACGTCAGGCACCTTTTGCGCGTTTACCCGGCTGCCAAGCGCGTGGATTCTTCCAACTTCAACCCATTGTCGGTTTGGCGCCGAGGAGGACAAATGGCTGCTCTCAATTGGCAGACTTACGATGTTCCTCAACAGATCAACGAGGCCATGTTCGCCGGTGGTTTGGATCGCTTGGGATATGTTCTCAAGCCGGACGAGCTCCGACATGCCAAGCATCAGCCCATCTTCGACGCTGTTGACCAAGGTCCCAAGGACCACGAGAAGAGGGGCAAGAAGTGCGTCAAATTGAGTGTCGACATCATCTCCGCGCAACGCTTGCCCCGCCCACGCAATCAAAGCTCGGGAGCCGGCATGAACCCCTACATCGAATTCGAGATGTTCTACGCGGAAGATAAGGAGCGCGTGATAACCAAGTCGGATGGCATCAATGACGCGTCAGTACCAGAGCTGCCTACCGAGAGGCCGCTACCGAGCCGCAGCCGGACAAGAATTGTCGAAGGCAATGGCTTTGACCCGCAGTACCACCAGAACATCACGACTTCGGTCGAGACGAAATTTCCCGGCCTCGTCTTCGTCCGATGGACCGTGTGGAATGCTCCACAAGGCAAAAAGTCGGGCTCCAACGGCGTGCTCCTTGCTGCATATACAGCTAAGCTCAGTAGTCTACAGCAAGGCTACCGACACCTTCCACTCTTCAACCCTCAAGGAGAGCAGTACCGCGACGCGAAGCTCTTCGTCAAGATCAAGACGGAGGCTCCAGTTGCAATTCAGCAACAAGATGACGAAAGCTTGTACTACGGCATTGTGGACCCCACAGCTTCGCCTCGATTCGACTCGTCCCGAGGCGCCTGGCCACGTCGCATTTTCAGTCGAGCTTCGTCACAACGTCGAAAAGACGCCTCCAGCGAAGTTGCGGGACCTTTGTCCCGAACTTCCAGCATGGACCGCGAGTCCTTGCAATGATCAAAGCACGTTTGACACTTTTTAATTCTGCGCGCATTCACGATACCCGTACCACATTCACATATTCGGCGTTCCACGGGCATAATTCGGCAAACACAGCTGGCATGCTGTTGTTCCATGGGCGGCTACATTGAGTTGAGAAAGAATACAGTCTTATACCCCACTTCGCAATTGCATTTGCAGGGCTCATCATCCGCGCATTCTCCACGTCTGGCGTTTCTCTCCCTTCTTGCACCTTCTTCGCACTTGGATCCTCTGTTCGGCTGGCTATCGAACTCTCCGCAAGAAAAAGAAGGGAAAGAATGCAAGGCGATGACGACTCAGACGCCCAAGTTGTGTTTTTTGGTTTTTCATTTGTTGTTTGTCTTCTCCTTCTGAAAGATGTACAACTTGGCACTACAAGAACAAGAAACGACACCGCACAAGGGCTGCGCTCTTCAAGAATGATCTCTGCATCATTTACGTTTTCTGTTGTTTTTCCGTTCTTCCAAACAACTTCTGCACTTCGCTGCGCCACCTCTTTGCGCTGGTCTCAAGGAGGGAAAGGAGGCACGCGTTGCTGTAATTGTATCACGAACCCTTTTGCCGCAAGTTGCAATTGCGGAGGGCGCGCCAAGAGACTACCACCTTTTGTTGTTTTTCATTCGGGTTGGAGACATGAAGGAAATAGAATAGAACTTCTGGAAAGGAGAGGAAAGTGAAGCATAGGAGGTCGACATTCGCTTTTCCACTTTTAGATCAGGCCTTGAGGGCGGACAGTTGGGGGAATTTGGCTTGAGGTACTATCAGCGCCTTGGGTCTTCCCTTCTGCCGCTCACTCAATGGCTACGAGAGAGACTCTTTGTAATTTCATGAAGATTTCTTCTTGGATGACATGGTTTTCCGGTGACTCATTTCCTCATTCTATTCCATCTGTGTCTTCCTTCTGCAAAGATGATCGCGATTCTATGCTATGCTATGCCATCATTGTCACCCCACATCGCGACACGTCACATCTGAACTATGGATTGCATGTTCCATGCTTCGGGCGGATACGGACAGAATGCACGCACAATCACATCGCTTTCTTGCGGTTGAGAAAACGATACGCCGAGTGCAAAGAATGGATTTCGTGGGCGGGTATGAGGTCAGAGCTGCAGTAGTGAAGGATTCAGAGCCTACTTCTCCGTGCAGACATACTAGTGGGGGTTGTTTTCTATTCATAGAGTTCCATTGAGAGCTAACAGATAAAGTGCGGGTACATTAGCTAGTTGGTCACGCGTTCCGAGCAGCAAGGCCAACGCAACTCCTTCTCAGTCTCGACACGGATACGAAGGTGCGAAACCGTCGTCGGCAAATCTCGTGTTCTGGCAGGGCCAAGAGCTGCGACCGTGCGTGATAACGATATGCTCGTACAGGATGCTTTTGTGCAAGAGGGGCTTTGGCGCAAACAGCAGCAGTCTTTCGGCATTCACTTCTTCGCTTTCTTGCCTGCTCCTCCATTCTTGGCCTGGCTTCCCTGAAGCGGCGAGGTCAAAACGTACTCACTGTCATCCAGGTCGACCTCGGCGTTGATGATCCACTGCGCGAACGCGGTCTTGTCGTACACCACGCGACCGTGTGTCTTGATCAGGTCCTCGGCATCGTCGTCTGTAGCATTGTTCTCGCCAAAGAAGATGACACTTTCCTTCGGTGTCGTTGCATGGCCTTTGTTCGCATTGCCTTTCAGGATCTCGGCTGCTCCAGCTTCGTTGGCAAGTTCGACCAATTTGTCCCAGTCTTCGTAGAAAGTGGCGGCTTTCACGGTGAAGAACAAAGTCTTCTGGGCGAAGAGCGAGCGCCGGGTCGCAGGATCCGCTTCGATATCCTTCAGGTCAGCATGGAGGTAGTCATCTGCGTCTAGCAATTCGCCTTCCTTGCGCGAATCGTTGATCCACGAGTCACCAACTACGGTCTTTCCTGCTACCAGTGACTGCAGAACCTTGAGAGTCCTCGGCAGAGCCTTGTCCCTTGTTACGCAGACGTAGTTTGTTCCCTTGCTTGGCGTCTCATCAACACTCTTGATCTTGTTTCTGGTCATCCACGCTTTGGCAGCTGGTGGCAAACCGCTAGCACTGAGCAGAATTTTGGGTGTTCTGCGCACTGTAGCAGATGGCGTGGCTGTTTGTCTCCGTAAGACTTGCTTAGCTGGCGTTGCAGCAGTCGTGGTGGAGCGCAACGATTTTCTCGGCTTCGTCTTCCTCTTGCCGGCTGCAGCAGAAGTAGGTGCGTCAGGACCGTTGACGCGGGAGGCTTTCGGTGGCCTGCCCCTACCACGCTTCTTGAGGGGCTGGTCGGATTGCACGGCAGGAGCGATCTCGTCGTCGCCAGCGTCCGTGCTCTCCTCATCATCGTCTGGCTCCCCGTTATCCATCAATGCAGCTTTCGGTGGTCTGCCACCCTTCTTTGCTGTAGTGAAAGGTGGTGAGACAGTGGCAGCTTCAGCTTCATCTTCGGCATCGGCCATCTCCACCTCTTCTGCATCTTCATGATGCTCTGTAGATGTCTGAGTCCCCGCTGACTGTCGCGAGGATTGCGTTGGGCTGGGCGCGGGCACTTTAGACTCGTTGGGCTCACCGTTCGCAGTTCGCACAGCTTCGAAAACCGCGTCGAGCTTCTTGGTAGCAGTAGGCGGGGCGCTCGATGTGTCCTCGCCATCATCCTCACTGTCCCTAGCAGCTTTCGGCAATTTGGTTCGATTTCGTCTCGCTTGGGCATCAGAGTCTGCATCTCCTGGGAACTCGTACTGGTCTGCTCGAGCCGTCAACTTGCGCTTGAGACCACGCGAGGCTACCTCAGGTGCAATAGAAGGCGTGCCGTCTTCTGCGTCGTTATCTTGAGGCTCCCCAACCTCGCGCTGCTCGTTCAGACCAAAAGCCTCGTCATCTA